GTCTCCCCCCTGCAGATGAGCTCCTGCCACCCGCTTTTGCTCGCAAAGGCAGGGTTTGCAGCTCGCTGTGGTGACTCTAAGTGATCAGATCTGTTCAAACGAGGTGATCGAGGCTGTTGGCTCTGGATCTGACCGTCCCCCGGCTCCTGTGTGCCACAAACCTGCCTCAGTTAGTGTTGGGCTTCAGCTCGGGAGAGAGGACTCTGCCCCGTCCATCCCTTTGCCCAGTTCAAGCTGGACAAAGATGCCCGTGGAAAAAGATGAGGCAATGCCAAGAGCTGCTCTGCAGTCCCTGAACCGATTCCTTTGCCCTCCTTAAAACTGGAGCCAGGCAGCAGCGTTGGACCCTGCCCAAGGGCTGAACTCGGGGGAATTCACCTTCAGCAGGGCTCTGCCGGTGGCAGTCGCATCCCCAGGCTGGCAGGCAGCCCTGCCTCCTCGCCCTTGGTTAGCCTGGTGCAGGGTGCTGAGCACCCGGCTTTGGCAGGTGTTTGGAGCCTCTCGTCGCCCTGCTCGAGGCACCGGGTTGTTTCAAGTCTGGTCCTGCCGCTGGGGAGGTTGAGGTGGCGCGGGGAGTGAGGGATGCGCTTTAATTCTTGAGCTCAGGCTGGAGGAGGAGGAGGAGGAGGAGGCAGCAGTTTGTAGGCTGCTGTCAGCAGTGCAGGGCTTAAGGGCGTGGGGGAGATGGGTGGCTGTCTCTGCCTCTGAAATTAGTGGGGTTTTGGATGGCTAGAACCCACGCTGCGGTGCCCGGGGGCTCTGGGAAACCGGGAAGCTGCAGGCAAGCAGCAGGCGTGATTCACATCTCCGAGCCGGCTGCAGAAATTCCCTGGTAGGCTTCAAGTTTGCTTTCCAGGCACTTCTGCAGAGCGGGGCTGACTGCGAGCCAGGTCGGTGAAATCGGAGGGACTGCAGTAAATCCTCCTTCCTCCCTCTCTTGCAGGACGGGATCTGCAGTCAGGCGCAGAGAGCCGCTGCGGCGCAGCCCGGGAGCTCCCGCTGTTCGCTGGAGAGCCGTCGCCCTAGGGGGGGAAAAAAAGGCTCTGAATAAATCCCAGGTAATTGAGGCAGGGAGGAGCGTTGTGTCTTACAGGAGGCTGCCCAGGAAGCGGTTTGCTCACGGGGCAGGCTCGGCAGGGCTGGGGTAGCATGGTGGCAGCCTTGCCCCTTCTCCGACAGCATCGGCACTGCGCTGCCAGCACTCAAAGCGAGCCCCAAACCCATGCAAACTCTTCCTCTCTTGCTGCCCGCCGAGCTGGCTGTGGCTGTGTGCTCTGCCGAGCAGGCTCAGCCCCTAGATTTTATCCAAATTCTCTTTTTATCTCTGTTGGGGATCCCTATCCAGCTTGGACAGGGAACAGAGGACACAGTTTCTCTGGCTGCATCTCGTGAGCTCGCAGGGGATTGCTGCATTTGGCTCTCAAGATGCTCATTTACATTTTAAAACCATTTGCAAGCTCTTTTTTTTTTTTGTTTAATTTATTTTCCACTTGGCTTTGCTTTCGGTGCTCCTGCCCCTCCAAAACAGCAAGGCCACTGTGGGCTTTCAAGGACGATCCTCTGGTTTCTTTGCTGTGGAAGGAAAGATGGGTGAAGCAGCCGTAAAAGACAAATCCCCGCTGACCTTTAAGAAGGGCTCTCTGCTGCCTGCCCATCGGGCTTCCTCAGCCTGCCCAGCTGTAAATCTGCCCAAAACTGCCTGAATTATATAATATAGCCCCAAGTGCTGGGTGGAAACCCGTTGAATTTAAAGCAACACTGCTGGAGCAGGGGGGGGTTCTGGAAGAGCCTGCTTTTGATCTTGCCGGAGTGCTTGGTCGGGCGCCGGCAGATCCGTGTCCCTCAGCTGCGCTGTCCCCTTGCTCTGGTGTCTCTTCCCACCCCAGAGCTGTTCCCTGAGTAGGTGTGAGGGAGGGCTGGGAGTGAATTTTCCCTAGAAAAGTGCTTCTCACCTGAGGAGACACAAACCCAAGGGAGATTCGTAGAGCCCTTGCGGCAGGGGCGAGGGCTGCCCCGCTCCGCGTGGGGTGGGGCGAGCGAAGTGGCTGCTGCTGCCGCTGGCGA